ATCATTGAAGGATTGTGCGGGTTGAGAGGTGTCAAGGAGGGCTTGAAGATCGACCCAAAGTTACCGCAAGGATGGGATGGCATCAAGGCGACAAGACTGTTTCGAGGTGCGACGTTCGAAGTGGAGGTCAAACGAACCAAGATTGAAGACGTGAGGGTGGTTTTGGATGGGAAGGAACTGGACGGAGTAGTTGTGAAAGATGTGGAATCTGGTAAGACGTATAAAATTGACGTGCAGATTCCGTAAGTTAAGATAGGTATATGTACATGTCCTATCGCTTTATCTCAAGCCCTCGGGTCGAAAAACTATTCACAATGATCGATACGTGTGTCCTTATTCAAAGCCTCCCCTGTGTTCTTGTTAGCACCTGGATCAACACAGGTCCACGCTGACCTACCGTGATACCGAAATTACTATACACGATCCTCCACCCATCCTTCGTCTTCCCCCAAACATCTTGATGCGTCACATACGCCGTGAAAATACCTTCCGTTGTGTTGGGGAAGTGCGTAGCCTGAAAGTACGTGTGGCTCACCGCCGTTTTGGACGCGCACACATCAATGATATGGTTAGCAACTAAGTGCTGCGTCTTTGGATACGCTGAAAGAGAGCCCTGTAGAAACGTTTGGATGGCCGGGAGACCTTCAAATATACCAGCGAGTCCGGAGTAGTTGGCGACCGCGGAGGGAGCGAAGACATGGTCGAGCAAAGGGAAGGCTTTGCTGTCGAGAACGAGAGCGTAGAAGTGGAGTGTCTGCCGGATTGCCTCGATGTCGTCGAGTTGGGAGTCCTTGATGGATTTAGGTAGGAAGTAGTTGGTAAGAGATACTGGCGCGGGAGCGGGGAGGATCTGTGGACACGATGCGGGGAGCTCAGGGGGTAAGTTGGCGGCAGTCGTGAGACCAACGAGAAAGACTGAGACGACAGGATGAATGGTAGAGAAGCGCATTGTAGCAGCTCTTGTGATGGAACTCGAGACTTTACCAATCGATGCTTTAGTTCGGACATTCGTCAGTGTTTATATAGCAAGGAGTAGTCCCAAAGGCCTCCTTTCTTCCCAGACAGGCACCGCAATCTGGAGCCTGTATCATTTGCTTACTGTCAGGACGCCATCAATTCCTGTGAAGCTGAGAACAGCATATCTAGACCCTACTCAGCCCCAAAGATTTGGTCTAAAGGGCCGAGGTGGTGTACCAGAAGCAGGGACGAACACTTCTTGGGTTTAGCGCCATGCAAGACTGTGCAAGGCTTGTCGTAGTGCTGACTGGGGCTGAGATGCGGGCTTCCTTTGGTCACCGAAATACCTACTCTTTTGCATGAGCCCAATAGTTGTATAAACACTTACGAAGAGGGGACGAACCGAACAAAACCACTTTGGCATGTCGTTGCCGTGTTCACTAGTTTGTGGTCCCTTCCAAATTTTCTAGATGTGACGTCACCAAGTCGCGCTTCTCGTCCAACAACTTCCGAGCCCTAATGTCACCTCACAAGCATCACGGAGCGCTCTCTGCCGCTCTAACTACACATCTCAATGGCCCGTGAGTACCACTATCACAGAATGTGAAGATGGTACATGGATTGTACCTAGGCAAGAGAGAGCAACGAAGAGGCATCTCCTGACGAAGGTGTGCGACAAGAACAAGAGAACCTGAAACTAAGATGTCAACCTTACAGCTACATGGGCTTGTCCTAGCGGAATGAACTGGATTTGTTTTCGCATCTCAACGGTCGCGACAGGGTAAGCTATTGCGTACGTGGTACAGAGAAGCACAACAACGACGAGAGTCATAAAACTCAGAAAACCTGCAAAGGCAGAACATCAACTTAAGACAAGCTTTTTCTCGTAGGCCTTTGGCGATGCTTGATGCTCACGGTTACGAGAAGACCTACACAGCACAAGCAGTAAGCTCATGGTGAAACCTTACCATACGAATCGGCTATACGGATGTTTATCTCCATCATCCTGACGACATTTTCGTACATCATCGCTTGAAGGATACAAACGGACAAGCGCTGAGCTGGACGACCATTACCAGCCACAGCTCAGCCGCCTCGGCCACTTATATCGATTTTCCTCTTCACACCCGGCAATCCATATTCTCATTGCCATGAGCGACAGAAACAGCGCTGGTCCTGCCCGCTCGCTTGTTCAACAGCTATGTTCCATCATACATCCCGCCTCTCTAGTACGACAATCGATCTGATTGCACGTGACTTGCATCATCAATTTGCCCTCACTCCACACTTTATTCTGATCGACCGGATTCTGGGGTGACAGACTTTAGTGTCTTCGCAAATGCTTAATCCCTCATCACTCAAGCATCGGGGCTTTCGGACCTTGAGATTCTAAATCGAGAACAAGCCGTCTTACCCACTTTTGCCACGCGTGCTGGACCAAACCTGTTCCTCTGCAGTATCCTACTTCCCTTCGCCTTCGATGGTACGATAAGGCGATTGAACAATTGAAATCTACAGCGGCTTGGTAGTCGGCACTGCACGTCAGAGAACGAGTATCAACTCGTCTAACAACAGCTTGTTCTTCGGCCAATACGCACAGGGAGAGGCGGTCGACATAGAGTGATCAGCGCCTTGTGCATTTGGAAAACTCGATCGACCGGCTACCGCGATCAAAAGATGCGCTTGCGGTAATGTTCCTGTCTATCCGGTTACATACGTCAAACCCCAGGCAAGCCGATGATCGACTAGCTAACGGCTTTGGCGCTGAAAAACTCTGGGGAACGCTCGCTTGGTTGGCCAATCCTTATAGATGCTGTTACGTGACTGCGACATTTGTCCTCTTCCAGCAAGGCCCACATACCAATACGAGGCAGGACGGAGCTTGCTCCCATGTCTAAGCTTCGGCCATTGACAGCTTCTGAGCTTACGCTGCTTGATATCATCGTTGACGATAAGCTTGTTGAGACACCTGCAATCGACTCAATACCGAGCATGGCCATGTATTGTGGACCATTACGGTGGATCGTAGTGTTGGCTTCGATGTCATTGATCCAAGCAGGTAGGTTCTCAAGCCATGTATAAGAGCATGCCCAATGCTTGGGATTGGAAGACATCTTCAACTTCATCTTTTCTCGATTCAATCGTTACATTACCTTCGGATACTCTCAAAATGAAGTACGCTTTTGCCCAAGTCGCGTTTGGCCTTGGCGCCAACGCCCTCGTTGCCCGTGAGGCCTCTCAATGCGTTCAGTTGCAGGCTTCCGGTGGTCAGTCAGGAATTTTGGGCCAGCTCGGTGACGGTCAGAACCGAGTCGGCGGCGATCACCCTACCGGCTGCTACTGCTTGAGCAGTGGTGGTTTTACCGACTCTAACGGCCGCGGCTGCATCCTCACTCCTCCTACAACCCAGTTCCAGTGCGATGTCGGTGCTAGCCCTACTACTGGCTTCGCCATCGGTTCCAGCGGCTCCGTCACCTACAACGGCAGCTCCAAGTTCTACGCTTGCCCTGCCACAGACAATGAGTACAATGTCTACACCTCGCCCGTGTCTGGTCAGGACAAGTGTGTTGAGATCTCCTTGAGCTCTGCCGGATCCTGCGGATCAGGCTCTGCACAGTCCAGCGCACCCGCTGCTTCGCAGCCCTCGCAGCCTGCTCAGAGCTACCCTGCTCAGAGCCAACCCGCACCTAAGCCATCTCAGCCTGCTCAGAGTGCACCGGCCCCTAAGCCTTCCGCTCCCGCTCCCAAGCCTTCCCCGCCCGTCCAGAGCCAGCCTGCGCCCAAGCCATCTCAGCCCGCTCAGAGCTACCCTGCTCAGAGCCAACCCGCACCCAAGCCATCTCAGCCTGCTCAAAGTGCACCGGCCCCTAAGCCTTCCGCTCCCGCGCCCAAGCCTTCCGTACCTGCTCAAAGCGCTCCTGCCCATATGCCCTCGACTCCCGCTCAGTCCGGCAACAAGTGCCCCACTGACTTGAACGGTGCTTACCAGTACCCTCACCTGATCATTCCCGTCGACTCCCAGCAGTCCTCCAAGGCTTTCGGTACCTCCTACAACGGTAAGATCGACAGCCATACCTGCTCGATCTTCAACTTCGACATTCCCGCCTCCTATTCCGGCAAGACCTGCTCTGTCGTCTTCCTGTTCCCCGAGCAGAAGGACCTCGAGACATCTTCCTTTACTGTCTCTGGTAGCGGCAAGGTCGACTTTACTAAGCTCAAGGGCCCCGCTAACCAGCAGACTACCTATGCCAACCAGCCTGGCAAGGAGTCTGACCTCGCATCCATGTCCGTCGCCCCCGGCAACTCGTACGCCATCACTTCTGGTGACTGCGCTGCTGGCCAAACTGTCAGCTATGAGATTTGCGGTAACGGAGACTTCTCTCTCAACTACTTCCAGGACTACAACCCCAGCCCCATTGGTCTGTATGTTCGCCAGTGCTAAATGCACAAGTACTCATGTACTAAACTCAGGCCTTGCCATCATTCACTTCACTGTGAGCATCATGAGCAAGTGAGCCTTGGTAGACCTCGTCGAGGTATAGATCAGACTTGGAACATAGTCTGAGGGGGTATCTTTGGGTTTCTATGTATCATTTTATGACACCACTACTTGTGGCACGACTTTCCTTACGACTTAGACAGATCATTCTGTAATGAATAATGCACTCCTTTGAATCGACTATCCTTTATAGCTTTTATGAACATCTTCAAGATGGCTGACTTGACACAGCGAGAACCTGCAAGACCAACGGTTGTTCCTCTTTGTTCCTGATCAGGTGCTTGTGCAAGCTATTGTTCGAATATATGCTCGACTAAGTCGGGGCGATATATGGTGTTCAAGCCAATAAGAACAGTTTATAGGTGAAGTCACTTGCGGAAAGATTCGTTATCGCAGACTGATTCCTCCGTGGTTTGGTACAATTAACGGGAAACGCTAGCAGAGGAATCAAGCAACTGCAACTGGCGATATATATACTCAAAGCTCGTTATCCTTCATCAAAACAGTATATCCGTTATGGTCTAGGTAAGCTCAACCATCACTCTTCATCACCAACATTATCTAACAATCCGAAGTGGCTAGGATACATCGCTCTCATTAGCAAGTGCCGATGTGGCCGGGGTTCGATTCCCCGTGACGGAATTTTTTGCTGATCTTTTTGCACTTACTTGGAACAGATGAAGTACGTTGTAGTCTCGACTGCTTGTAGCTCTGTAAGAAGTAAGCCGACCTACTTCAATTGCCTTGGGACATTCCAAGGGCTGTACGCTTACTACACATATTTTCGTCCCGCAGCATAAGAGCTCGTAGCAAGTATCCGATTGTTCTGAACGTCTCTGGCCACTACTTGAGCGCAAGGGGCTCTGCTAGTACTGCAGCCCTTTGCTTTTACCTACTCGCTTATACTCGGCCAGCATCTGTTATTTCGCCATGTGATCTAAGCAACAAGACGTTTGATATCTCTGTTACTACGGGTTTTCCTTCGATGCAAAGCACTGGCCTACACATCCGCCAGCTGCCACACATACCCGATTGGCATTAAATCACTCCAATACACAATGAGGACCGCGCATCCAAAGTCCGCGGACCCAACGGCGAACAGTCATATGCCAACCGCATCGGCCCTTTTCACCGAATCGGTGCGCTGCGTTCGACGCAAAGAGAGGACTTGCTCGTTCGAGCATGTTCAGGAAATGGGATGTGTAATAGGAACACACCTACACCGATCTTAAACTGCACCCAATAACACGAAATCGAACGCTACTAGTTCACAGTACAAACGAGACGGCAACGAACCCACGCTCCCCCTCTACCACACACCCACCTCACATACAGCACTCTAACAGCTCCCTCGGAATAACGGTACGCAACCCGCCGAGTCGGCATCGACGCGCGCGCCGCGTTTCTCCATCGGGTAAGAAAGGAGAAAGGAGTCGATCGCTGCCGGGAAATCGGCCGACTAAGCAGCGCTTGGTTCGGCCGATTGTACCGGTGTGGGTGTGGAGCTTGGCGCGGGATTGTGAGTCGGTGGCGAGGGAAGGGAGAGAGAGAGTTTGTGGAAAGAGGGGTTTGGGGAGGTGTTTGCTGGGTCATGGGTGTCGGAAAGGGTAGGGGGAGCTGAGTGGGGAAGGAGTCGAAGTAAGTGAGGGGGAAATTTTGGTGTAGAAGATGCCTTGACGGACTACTGATCACGGTTCGCAGATTATATGTGAATGAAAGACTAAAACGCTTTGTATATTTGCGATGATACGCTGCGATGCACAGACCAGCAGGAGACGAATCCAATGTAGTGTACACAGGCAATATTTCTTACTTAATCGAACCACATTATCTCAACCTCATACACGACTGAGAACAAGTATTTTCGAGCAGCACCTACAAGGTTTCCCCTTCGCCCTCTTCAGGTTCCACCATGGTGGCGTTTGATACTGGGCTAGATGACCTTCCACTGGCGGTAGGACGATTGTCCGCCACCCATGCATCGATCTCAGCGAGTGCCTTGACAGGGTCGCCGCGGCATCCTTGCAGGAAGTTTTGGACTTGCGCCGGTGTGAAGGTATGCGCGGGCACCTTCTCGGCGAACTCTGTTGCGCATTGCTCAATGTATGCCATGGAGAAGACTGCATCGTGGGCAAGCGCTGATCGGCCGATCAGACGCATGAAGATGCTCTTTCCAGCCGACTTGCTCATGTTACCAAAGTACACCCTCTTGTCGATGCGGCCTGGTCGTGTAAGTGCCGCATCGAGGGCATCGGGATTGTTCGAGGTCATGATGAGCAGTCGGCCTTCTTGCGATGCGTTGCCGTCGATGGCGTTGAGTAGACCGCTGAGGGTGATGAGGCTACCTCCTTTCTGCTCTTGCTGCGCATGACGTGAAGTCATTCCTCGCCATTGTGCGCCCATCAGCGAATCAGCAAGATCTACATCTGCTGCTACCTTCTTGAGCTCCACAGTAGCTTCTCGACCGATTCCGGCCGAGTCAATGTCTTCGATGACAACTACGCACTTCTGCGGCAGACCCAGGAAAAGATTGTGCAGTTTGCCGTCGGTGATATCGTTAGTCGCTAGGTTGATATGGTAGATGTCGCAGCCAAGATGTCCTGCGAGAGCCGCGCTGAAGGATGTTTTCCCTGTGCCAGGCGGTCCGTGGAAAAGATATCCACGTCGGTAGGGAATGCCACAGTCTGCGAAGAATTGTTTTCTGAATAATCAGCACGCGCTATGCATAGCTTCTGAACTCAAGGAGGTGGCTTACGATTGTTCGCTGTAGTAGTACTCGGCGTCTCGGACAACGTCCAGTTTGACACTGTCTTCCATGTCTATGGTGTCAAGTTTTCTGACAGGCTTCGATATCGACTGCCACTGCCCGCCGCCGTAATCATATTGGCTGCCTCCAGCGAAATATACCGTCGTTGTACCGGTCATATTGGCCTTTTTCCACGCATGGCATTTGACCACAAAACTGCGCAAGGGCGCTAGATTCCAACCCACTGTTGTAATGATGAGTGCATTCTGTAGTCTGCCGCTTGTGTCGAGGCTGCTGCTTCCAATTGGGCCATGAGAGTTCGACTGCCGTGTGCTTCCTACACGATCAAAGAGGTATGGACGCAAGCCAACCCTGATAAGTTAGTGAGCCAATTCGAACTAAATTCGCAGGCGAAGAGAAGGGCGGTCTAGGAAAAACTGAAAGACGTACCAGAAGATCCGCGTGCCGATAGGAGGCAGGCAAGATACTTCATTGTCCACGACTGCTTGCATGTTGCGATTTCCAACCCGACCTGATGGCCCTATCATAAGCCGACGACCATAGTTCATCTCATCCTGCTGTGAGCCTTCAGTCACAATCATGGCGCTCCTACTCCGGCGATTCTGGATCACTTCGGAACTCATCCAGGCGAGCACATCCTTGGCAGCACTGTTGGGGTTAGCGACACCACCGAGACATGAAGTGCCACTCACGGATCGTGCTCGGGTATCGTGATCTGCACAGTGAAAGCCCATATAGCAAAGTCTTTCAAATACTTGTACACAGGTACAGCAGCGCTGTAGAGCGCTATCACCGCCAAGACCTTGTCAAGATCACTGTGCGTGTCCGGCCGCAGACGGTAAAGCAAGCGATGCAGTATTTCGAGCAACGGAACCCGCGAAGAAGCTTGTCTGATCAAATGACGTGGAAGAATGCCAGGTGTATCCACAGGTTCGGGCCATGTCTGAAGAGGATTGCTGGCTGGTGGTGCCATCACCAGATCGGTCGGTGGTGATGTCGAGGTCTCCATGATGAAACGATAGAATGGAAGTTGACTATACAAGGATATGAATACACGGAGAGAAAGGTGTTAGGTCTTGTCGCGACCTTGAGCAGGCTGCGAAGTGAAGGCTCAGGAGCACGTGCTGTGAGCACAATAAAACCTCAGAAGTTCGCAAAAGCCGACTGGTGGAAACTGTGTCAGGGTTCTGCTAGACAAAGGCAAGGACGAAACGAGAGTGAAGGGAAAATTTAAACACAAGTAATATACAATGCCCAAGAAGGCAACCTCACCCAAGTACAACACCCGCGCGAAAGATGTCGAGGTCGAGAAGACGCGTTGCGGCTGAGATTGAAGTGGAGCCGAGGTGCTAGGCCAGCTTGGGTGTTTGGCTCTAGCCGTTCTGCGGAAGGCGCGAACGCATCGCCCGTACGTCATCCCTCGAAACATTCCCCTCTACGCCATTTTGACAATCTACGCGTATAAAATCTCACCTTGTGTAAACAGCTGTACCTCCCCCCAAAAAAAGCAAGTTTCGACTGTTAGAACTCAATTCCTTCACATCTATCAGCAATGGCGAGCACAAACAACCTCCAAGCTTCGAAACTATTCTCCGTCAAGGACTATGTCTGCGTAGTCACTGGTGGCGGCAGCGGCATTGGGCTGATGTCCGCACAAGCTCTGGCTGCCAATGGTAGACTTTACACACACATTCTGTCTGAAAATAAGCTGACTGGCGACTGAAGGTGCAAAGGTGTACATCACAGGCCGACGTAGGTTTCGCTCGTCAATACCAGAGCAAATAATACTGACTCGTTGCAGGGCAGGAAGTCCTCGATAGGGCTGTTGAGTCTCACAGCCCCCAGGGAGATGGCCAGATCATCGCGCTGAGCCCGTGCGATGTGACCAAGAAGGCTGATCTCGAGAAGATGTACGAGGAGCTATCGAAGAAAGAGAAGTACATCAACCTTCTCGTTGCCGCAGCTGGTATCAGCGGTGAAAAGGCCGAGCCAGACGCGGAGAAGGCAACCGATATGAAGGCGAAGCTCTGGAACAACGAGACTTTCGAGGGCTGGGCCGAGACCTACAACACCGACGTCAGCTCCGTGTACTTCACTACAGTCGTCCTGCTTCCTCTTCTCCAAGCAGGTACCGAGACTCACGGTCATCTATCAGCATCCGTCATCGTCATCAGCTCTATGTCTGGTATCATGCGCCACGCTCAAGGTCATTTCAGCTACAACGCGGCGAAGGGCGGCACAGTGCACCTGACAAAGCTCATGTCGGCGGAGTTTCAGCAACTGAGAGTCCGAGTCAACTCCATCGCACCAGGCTACTTCCCCTCGGAGATGACAGCCAAGGAGAGCGACGACAAGCAGAAGAGCGAATTGCCGGACGAGAAGATCCAGGAGAAGGGCCATGTTCCCCAAGGACGCGCGGGCCAGGACGAGGAGATGGCACAGGCTGTGCTCTTCCTCACGAAGAATGCCTATGTCAACGGCGAGATCATTGCTGTCGACGGCGGTGTTCTGAACGTGGTTGCTGGGCGATGAGCGATTCGACGCACGCGAGGTGGCAGATGGTAATGCACAGGCGATGAAAAGGGCTAAACGAGAGTAGTGTAATGGCAATATTAGTTGAAGATAAAGGCCTGCATGCAACAAAACCTGATCAGCCGTGTCGTCAGTCTTGGGTTCAGATGTGGGAATTCGTTTGATGCTTGGTCGAGCTTCGAAGGCCTCTGAATGCTCGCATCAGACGCTGGCAGCGCCATGTTTGAACTAAGTATTGGGCACATTCTGTGTGGGGATTGCCTAGGTATGGTCTTGGTATTGGTCTCGGCCTGCGGTCTCTCAATGCTTTGCGCTGAACCAGATCTAGTTAAGCCTGTAAAGA